AGGGGGGAAGGGGGACCTCTTCGTGGGGGGAAGGGGGGAAGGGGGGAAGGGGGAGGAAGTGACTATAACTCGCAATAGCGATGCGTTATTTTTCGCTCTGACAGAAGCAGAGACGCAGAACTCAGGGGACTAGCTTTCACCTATATATACTCACCGTCGAATTTTAAATCTTACAGTTACAAATGGCCATGGGGTTAGCGGCAAGCGCAGCACGCCCACGAGATTCGGGTACGAGATCCCGGGTCCGGGAACTTCTCCCCTAACACGGCGTCGCACACGCCGCACCCGCCGCCTATCGCAGGATTGCGATGGAGTTTTGGAGCGCGCAATTTGTGACGTAGGAAGTCCTTTAATTATTTGAATTGGCTGACCACTTTCTTCAGTTTCAATGCAGTCTTGATCGCCGCTTACTTAGGAGGAATCATTTTAATTAATCAAGTCTAATAAACATGAAAACTAAGAAGAAACAGAAGAAAAGACGATAAAATCCAATAAAAAAGCAAGCTAGACAAGGAAAAATATCGCGTCCTATCGATCGGCGGGAGGCGAGGTGAGTACGGTAACTGCAGTAACATTTGCCGCATGCCGCAAGGGAGAATGCCGCGATAGGGGAGAAGTTCCGTTACCCCGAGATCTCTCACTCTGAATTTACAGGAGGGTTGCTGAGAAACATGTGGTTGCTGGCGGTGGCAATATCCTGACAATTATCCGTTACCAACGTGAGACAAGCTTATCTTGGTGGCTAACAATGGTTCTGTGCATTCGAGCATTGTAGTTAACACCAGTCACTAGGGGTGCGCTTCGTTGCGCGCATCCGTCAAAACTAGGTCACGCCGCAACTGTCGCGATACTTGAAGGACGTCGCAGTTGTTAGTGGGACATACGATTTTCGCTTGGTCCATGGCAGTCGGTCAATGAAAAGATTACACGGACAAATGCAAACCATTCGCTCCACTGACTTGGTGGTACTGCAGTGCTATCTCGAGACCTCAGGGGGGTACGCCGCGCGCGAAGTGGGTGGAGGGTGACCTACTTCCACCGGACGCGTGCGACGGACTTCCCCATTTGCTAGTGGTTACAGTTGAGTCCAGAATTAGCGATTTGGACGAGATATCATGCTCGCATGTTCGCCTCGAGTAGACGCAGACCTTCTAGGTTGTTAAAATCGGAATAAAAATGTGAATCGGAAAATGAAGAAATGTGTAGTAACTTCCTGAAAAATCTTCATTCGTGTTATGGATTAGATGTGTGATCATAAGACCCTACGTGATTCGTAGCTCATATCTCACCTCTTAGTTCAATTATTCGTCTAGGTTACCGAGTAGATCCGGCCGTCGTCTCACGCTTCATCTGCCTGTAGAATCGCCGACTCGCCGCAGTTCTTACGAAAGCGAATGGTCCCAAGAACCACACGGCATTTTTCGTCGACGCGAATCGTTTCCGGCCGAGTCACGTACTGTGTCGCAGTGCACCCTCTTAGGTGACCGACACAACTCTGTTGCTTTGGACGGCTCACGGCGCGAGTCGCGTGATTTCCAGGATTTCGTACGCGACGTGCGACGACATTCACGCAGCTCATTTAATCGTGAATGTTATTTGAACAACTCGATGCGACGAGAGTTGGAAACACGTTGGCTTGACGACTACATTCGTGACTACTACGCGGTCATTGAACAACGACAAAAATGGCACGACATGCTTTACGACCTACAAAACCGGCGGCTCCTGCACGAGATGCTGCTCCTTCCCACTATGGAAGATGAACTGTCTTCTCGACGAGGACTGGGTGCGCCCAGCGAACCACGGGTCTTTCATGGCATGGAAACTTTGTTTGAGAAACATGAGTACAGCCGAGCTGGTAGACATCTGCGAAAACCTTTCCTTCGTCGCACCGCCTTGTCACATGACGCAGTTTTTTTGCCGCGAAGTGTGGAGAAACAGGACGATAGGTACAGGTCTTCACCGTTCGACCCATAGCAGTGTTGTGTCAACCCCAGCTGCTACGTAGTGGTTGTCCTTCATACCTTTCAAAGCATGTTCCGTTGAAGGGTTAGGTGGTGGAAGACGAGAGCCGAGGCAGACCAAATAGGATGGAGTTTCTGACAAAAAGGCGAGATTGAAAGCGAGCATCGAGGCGTTCAGAATGGGAAATCGCTGGCTGACGAAAAGCTATTAATTCTTAGAGGACTAGGGACGTTCCCTTGCATGCCTGTAGAGGTGTTCTTATCATGCTGTCCTTGCTAACTTCGAAAGGTCAATATTGTTCACCATCATGTTTCGTGTAGTTTAAAGAATTTCATTTTACCGGTATTACAATCTATGATAAGTTGTATTATGCAGAGTATTGAAGTGCATCAGCAAGATTCTTGGCCGACTTCTAGGCTTTACAGTTGCTTGGATGGTATGTCCAACCCAAGTTGTCCCGTTGAAGTTCTTCCTTGAATCCATCTTTCCTATGAAAGGCTTGCATGACGGTCCTTAATCACATATTTCTCATATCTCTGAACTGGTTTTGCTTTCAGAGTTCAATTTCAGGTCAATGTTCCTTCGGCGGAAGTTTTTATCAACAGGCGCTGTATCAAGCCGTGACAGCACGAATTCGACGGAGTCCAGCGCACCGGAAGCGATCTTTGGTAGTAGTGTGGACAGCGCGGGCAGTGATCTCGGTTAGCATTAGTTCTACATAAATCATTATAATAATATTTGAATTGGGAGGTTGCTTTGGCCAGGTGAAGTTGCATTTCGCTGTCTGGATGAAATAGTGCTGGCTGCTAGACGAGGTACAACACAATTTCGTTGCTTATTATGCAATCGCTACAATCTCCCTTAAAATGAGCGTAAAAGAATTGGACAAAAGGAATCTCTGTGCCGGAAAAGCCTCGCATAAAGTCGGCGTAGGGCGATGCATGATTGCGAAGTGATAAACGAAATTAAAGGCACAGTTCACGATGGTTCCTAGTTTCCCCTATAGTATGATTTCGAGGCTCTCTCTTATACATATTATTCCTGCCTTTATAAAGTCAACAAACGTCATGGATAGGGCACAATAAGGGGCCAGACATTGTATCGTGTGAATGCCTCACCCATCCTGGACGAGTTTCAACGACTTGGTAGAGGCTGCACTATTCAAGAGACTTCCATTTAGGAAATTCAAACAACTTGTCATGACCCATGGCGACAGTGACAGGCAGTTTTAGACGATTTGGACTTCATGTAGTCAGCTCTTTGTGCAATTGTGACAAATGAAATCTCGTCCGAATGCTCCTTTCGCGTCATTTTCGCCATGGTAATCTCGTACAACCTCTATTTCCACTACTTTTGAGGGGCCATATCATTTGCGAACAAGGCTAATTCTCTCGCTTTCTTCGCCACAGATGTCCTACTCCACAGCAACACTTCCTCTTTCCAAGTTAAAATGGGTACCTTAAGATTATCGTGAACTGTGCCTCAAAGGCAAGATAAGATGGAAAATAGCGCGATGAAGTTGAAGGAACTGCATGAATAGGTGTTTCCAAAGTGAAAAAGGCTTCGAAAATCTGTCAAAAAGGGGCGTGGACGAGAATGAGACCAGAAGAGTAAGGAAGAGCGGGGCGTTTGGAAGAGCTATACAATGTGGGTCCTGGTGCAAATCACTGACTCCGGTAACCAAACTATTTACTATAGACATAAGTACACAAAAACCCTAGTAACAGCAAAAGTAGCTCACCTTTTTCAGCCTGTACGAGTAGGAAGTAAAATAAGGGATCGCGGCAGCAAAAAGAATGGTAGAGGGAAAAAGAATGGGAGGAAAACATTGCCTCATCACTCGACGATCAGCTGATTATGTGTGGGTCCTAGAACGAATATTTGCAATCTGCGTCCCCTCGAAACTCGTCTGACGTGACATCGATCGAGGGGCGGGAAAGCCCCGTGAGCCAGAACAGAGAATTGTCGTGAACTGTGAAAGGCTTTTACAAACGTTAGCTGTGAAATCAGTCCAACTGCAATATTCCAATTTCTCGCCAGTTATACTAAAAGATTTTTGTTGTGTAAAGGTGCCAGAGTATCGGAAGGTATCACCAAAAATTTCACTAATAATCGGGTTGTTGAGCCAAGCGTCCATTCACCAATGATTTCTGCCGGGATTTAGATCAAGCAAAAGTGTGTGATCGCAATTACGATGCATGATATTATAAGCCACATCGCTCTCTTTTTTTAGAACATCGTCGACACTTGTTGATGAGCCGACTGGCGGATGGCAGTGTTCCACAGATGATTTCAGTGCCGTCGATAGCAAATATAAATCCGCTCCGAAATTCCCAACGACTACGACAAATGCCGGACAGAGACTTCAGGTACGAGCAAGAGAATGATGTCCATGTTGGCAGCTGTGCGTCATAAGTCGCGTGGGTTGTGTTAAAGTTGAGTGCCGCTATTATTTGTGTGCTGTAAATGTACCACTCGGATCGCGCTGCTCAGACGGGGCCTCCCTCTTTCCTTTTACAGAGTCAGGTTTACCCTCCATTCCTTTTCTCGGAACAAATTCATTCCTAACCACAAATTTTCAGAAGAGAATCCCCCTCAGAACACAGGTAACACAAAATTCGACTCAGCATGCATACGCTTATCAGCTGTGCATGCGAAACCTAAGTCTTTTGCCCGTGGTGATAGCAGTCACCATTCACTGCAAATTCAAGCCTTCACTTCATTTGGTCTAGCGGTGCGCCAAATTCTCTGCATTGCGTGATCTGGTTAATCGACTGAAGCCTTGAATTATACGTACTGATGTTTGGATTGATGTTAAGACTATTATCAGAAACAATATCGATACACCTTGTCTTTATGTATACATATAAGGCAGATGTGGTGTAGTGGCAAGCGCGCACTACCACGCACGCATAGTCACGGGTTCATTGTCATCCACCCTCCGGGGTCAGTTAATTGATACCAGACTCGTCTGGGAGATAAAAGCACTGACTTATACATCGGCTGGTCACCGCAAGTCATTGTATAGGTCGGTCGGAAGGCTAACCTTATTTAGGTTGTCAGTTATATAGGGCCGAAACGTTAGCCGACGGAATTGTAATATTTAACCTCGTGCTCTGGTTGAATTAAATAAAGTTGTATTAATGAGAATGAGTGAACCGAAGCTTGTTCTCCTTATATGGTACTACTTCCATAGGCCCTTACCATTGCAGTTTATAGTCGTTTTTTGTCAACCTACTCTGTCGTTCCGTCCTACCTTATAAAATATATCAAATCTGTATGTCGAACGTGTATACACCGAATGAGTTGGAAAAGAAAACCTTTTAGGATTCTTATCAGCCTTTGTCGACTGTCATCATTTTCTTTAATTCGTTAGCTTCTACAGAGTCACATCCTCTACTGCACATTGAAGTAGCAATGCTCTATTGCCATACGAAAGGGAAAAGAAGTGGTCTAGTGGCAAGACACAGCACTTATTAGATGGTATTAACCTTCATCCGACAAATCTCAAAAGACCACAAGGTGTCAATCTTCATCAACTAGTTCGACTCGGTGTTCCTGCCTTCTATAGCTTTTTATCAGTCTTTGCCAGCTTTTATTAGACTCTGACACCAAGCATACGCGATTCCGGCACCGCCCGCCTGGGACCAGACCATCATCTTCTTCGCACTATTGTTTCTTTTTCTCGGTGCATGGAGAGAGCTACGAAGTTCGGGAAACGAAGCCATAAGACTTCCATCAAATGGGACCGCCTCGCTTCCCTTGCGAGTGAATGGGAGATTTCGTTCACGACAACATCGATGAGGAATACAACCGGCTCGTCGAACAACTTCACGGAAGTGCTAGGAAAGCAGAATTGTAAGTAGTCAAGGGGCGTCTCTCTTTGAAGCCTCTTGAGTTGGTACACCAGTCATTAATCGCGCGAGCTACAAGCAATCATCAACAAATGCCCGGATTTGTGAATCTGTGCAGAGAGGTTGGAAGATCTGAAAGGGAGGAGCAGCAGTTCTCGCCGGGGCCGCCAAGGCCAGAGGGAGCATCGGCAAAGCCCGACGGAACTTCGCCATTTACAAGACCGAGATGACCTTCCTTGGTGACGGAACATTTACGTATCTCGAAGGGCAATATAGAAGGTCATCTACGAATCCTACTCGGATATCTTCGACAGCCACATCTACCTGCCCACCTATCATCTTAGGCAAGGTGCGATAACATGTTGAGCTACAGAAGGAAGATCTGAAGGAGCAATATATCGCTCCTTCGATATATTTGTGCCACGCCAGGTTACAGGACCAAACCATAACATCTAAAGAATCTTTCACCGTTTGTCGTCAAAACTTTGGCGCCCCTCTTCAGGTGGTATCGTCGGAAGGCAAAGTGCCTAGGTCGTAGAAAACTTGCAAGGCTATTGTTGTATAAAAAGGGAGATCCCATAAAGGTTATTGCAACTATCGCCAAATCTGCCTGCTGTCCGTAATCGAAATTTTCACACGCTCCAGGATTGACAGATTATCAGAAGAAGGACAGGCATACGAGCAAGCAGCAGCAGGTGTTGGAGGGTATAGTACAATCGATCTTATGTACTCACTTGCAAGACTCATTGAAGTTCCGCGAGAATACAGGATGTCGTTATGTCTGACGTTCATCGATTGAAGAGAGCCCTTGATACTATTGAGACAGAAGCAGCGATTGAAGCCGTGGGCACGGCGTCCTAATGCATGAGGGTGCTTCGTGAGCTCTACGACAATTTTACTCCAAGATTTTGCCATTCTCTCAGAAAGACATTGTCGAAGTGAAGAGAGGGGTTCGGGAGGACGACACCAATCCGCCCAAACTTTTTAGTGCCGTCATGCGTCATTTGGAATGAGATGACTTGGTATTGAAACTTTACAATGACTCGTGCTCATGACCCGAACATAGAGCAGGCGGAACAACAACTGGCCGGATTTGACAGCGCTTGGTAGAGATCGCCTTACGACTACACTCAAAGAGGACGGAACTCATAAGAAACGGATTGATACTTTGTGCTTATTTTACTCTGAATAGAACGACTATCTCCGGCTGCTCTGGTCACGTGTATCTATAATATGTCGAAAATTGAACAAGCGCGTGGGGAGCACGGGGGACGTTCGATTCGTGCGATTCCGGATGCACACGGCAAATTGCGCGGCAAAGTTCGCGATTATTCAAACAACTCCTGCGCCTATCATTGGGGCACAAACCTGAAGTAGAGTACCTTAGTAGGGTCGGACAATCCTACTGAACTACTTTACTTCAAATTCGGGCCCCAATGATAAACGCTGCAGTCGTCCAAATTGCACCGAATTTCGCCGCGCAATTTGCCGCGCGCATCCAGAATCGCACGAATCAACACACACCCGGCGAGCACTCACGAATATTGAGGGACTGGAAGCAGACAAGGAACATATGGTTGCGAGCTCACCTTTTCGACACTACTATCCTTCCTGCTTCGACGCCTCGGAGACTTAGAAGCAGGATGAACATGCTGTCAGTGTCACTCAACGCGCTCCGGGAAACATGACGCTCGGTATTCTCTGTTCTTGCAAGTGTAGAAGGGAATGAGGAGTTCCGAGCAAGTCAAGGAACGGGAGCAGGAACGCCGTTGCTTACGCCAAGAAATCGAAGTTCAGGTGGGCTGGACACCGCTAAACTGAGGAGATTACTGACTGGATTTCTCGGGACGGCGAACGAACGCCAGGCTGAATGAAAAGAAAGCTGTGTCTCACGTTCGAACGATCCACAGGACCACTGTGGCTCGCGACAGGGACGAACGGGGAGGTATTGGCACGTGCTCAAGGAGATCGTCAATCAGTGATATCGAAAAGTGATACGGGTCGTCCCTACTAAGTGGATACCAGTGCTTCTGTTCTTTACAGCATTATCATGATATTTCCTGAATGTTTTTGCAATATAGATCCTTTTTTTTCTTATTTCTCAAGTTTTTCCATTACGCTCACCAATCAATGCGATCACACGTAAAACGTTGCAGCGTTGATGCTCAGAGCGACACGTTGTTCCGAGAATGGAGCCGAGTGGATCCCGCCTACGAAAGACGCTATGGAGGGAATCGTCGTGAAGAGAGACGTCGGCTAGATAGGGGCGCTTCTGAAGATCAGTCTGCTTTTCGGTGAGAAGCTTCATGTCGAAATTTGATGATGTAGTCGGTCAGCAAGTTGGGAGAGAATCAAGGATAGTATTGTTTCAATAGAACCCGTTAATTACTATACTATCAAACGCCCAGTTAGTAGTGATTTCTTGTACTTTTATTTATTTCCATAATTTTTTTTGATTCTTAAGAAGTGTTAGTTGAAATTTTCAATGTGATCAACCTCCAAAAGAATTGTACGAATAATCCTTTCCAGGCGAAGCGGAGTACGCTTGAATTCTCGTCAGCTGACTACGAAGTCAGGGAGCAGCGTCATACTTCCGTACATTCGTTATCCAGATGAAGTCATCTGTGGCCGATGATCCGATATTAACGATGCAGGACTTGTCTTGTCGTTATCTGTCTGTTATTCTTATCGAACATCCTCACACAACTCGCTTCGTTTGCATTTTATAATAAGGCCAAAGCTAGAGTGTAGGTTTACGACGTTGACTTCGTCACTCTACCTTCCCACTTCCTGCCGTCATATCTTTATTTTTTGAGCTAAGTCAGCCTCACTAACTTGCTGTCATCTTGTAAGTTTTTCTTGTAGTTCTTGTAGTACTTCTGCATATCAAGCGATCAGTACTACGCCTGTTGTTGTTTAAAATTGCTTTGTTTTGACGCTTCATTTTCCTCTTTTTTTCTAGTCACCGTTATTCTATTCATCATTCATACATATGTTTCATCACTTCGTCATCATTATTTTTATCGATAGTTCACTTCCAAGTGTTCAAGCTTGTTTTCTCTTGGAATGTCTGATGTCCAGTTGCAGTCCCTAAGCACATGAAGCCCTTATCACAAGTGCACAAGTGCTCCACGGGCGGAATAATTACCATTGTACAATCCGTCCTCGTTTGATTCAGTTGTGTGAACACAAATGCAAATACCTCTGTTCAGCTTGAGCTGGAACGCCTCAAAGAAATTTACTGGACTTTCTGTCAGAGTACGTGCAAGGTATTTAGCAACAGACTTCGTAGTGCAAGAAGTGAGGTTTCAGTAGATTAGACGTTTTTAACCAATCGTCTATCGCTTCAATTATAATTTTACCTCAAAATAGGGAAAAATTTGTGCTTGCTGTGTTTCGTAATAACCTGCCAGAGCTAAAATGGAAGGAGCTCTACGTGGATCCAATGCTATTGTATCTAATTGTCTTTTTATCATGTATACGCTTAATAAAAGTGCTAATAACTTTTCGCGTCATCTTGGAAACGGGTCTTGTTACGTCCTGCGTTGCGTTCTTAGTAACAATAATATTTTTGGATTGTCATGAATTACTTTTTAGTTGGAAACAACGATCTCTAGATGAGCCCAGGGTCGTGGGAGGAATCGCTAATGTCAATCGACTGACCAATTCCTAAAAAGTTGATGATCATGCCTCATGAGGGTTTCGTTATCTCTGTTATAGGTAAGGCAGTTATGGAATGACTTCATTGATTTCTTATATTGTAACTGTATGCGGCAAAGTGTTGTGCTTGTGACTAGAAATGGAACAGAAAGCACGGCTGCACGACTGCGAGAAGTAATTGTTTATCTTTCAACAATCCTAACTCTGCCATTAAATTGAAATCAGTGTATTTCATGGTAAACGAATGGGTACATTCGGCATATATAGATGATTATATAACTGCCCCAGTAAAAGGCATTATTGGTTTAGATGGTTCTGTAGTCTACAACACGTCCAATTCGAAAGAAGAGGTTGTCTGAACTGTTGGTAGTTGTTATGCTTTTTCTCCACTGTAATCAAAGGCCGTTTCTATTGGAAAGTGGTGATTCTTATCATCTTGGAGGGAATTGAAGCCCTGTTAGTATCCTGCATACTATCTTGTGCCGTATCACTTTTTTCAATACCTTGATTGTTATCGATTCTTTCTTCTTTTTCTTCAATCTGTTTTTGTTATGTTACACTCAAAGCGCTTTGCCAGGCCCTGTAAGAAGTTGTAACAGGTTTCCTTACTTTGCGGGGCAAGGAGCTGGCACGTACAACCCTAAATTTCCTAAAGTGTTCCTAGAACGTTTTCATAATGAAAGAAAAATAATTCTTGTGAAAAGTAAGGTGGAAGTTTTCGGTTTGCTGCATTGATGTTAAGTGAATTCCGATGTGTTCTAATTTCTGGTTGGTGACTTTCAGCACTAACATTATTTAGCAAAGTGATATTTTCATCAGAAGAATTCGTTACCAGAAAATTTTTGTCACTTCTAATTACTTCTTCCCTATATTTCATCTAATTGGGGTGAACGTGAAATTAGGCTCTGGCTGATCAAAACAACCAAGCTGTCATGATAACATCAGAAAGCTGCTGAAAATAACTGTATGGAATCGTAGAGGAATGATGTACTCGGGTTGCGCAGCACGGCAAAGCGAAAGAAGCTCACATTCACATAGCATATGATGCCCGCACCTCCGTGGACGATTCATCGAAATCAGAGCGGCAGCCTTGGGTCTGGTTTTCATTCGCAGAACTACAGTCCAAACACAAAGTGCACTTCTTCAAAAATTGTGAGGGCTGTGTTCGAGTCTCTACTTACCACAGCACCTGATATGGCAATCAGAAGACATTGAATTTGTGCGGAACCCTGACGTGCGAATGCAAAGACTATTTGTTCATTGGTGGAAGATTTGTTCGTTCAGACAGGCGGACAGTTTTATGAGTTACGTACAAAAACTCCTAATGTGCTAGTCGTCGGTGTACGAAGCGACAGAAAGGGACAGGACAGCGAATTGCACTCATGCATGTCATCAGCTTAATTTGATCGTAGCACGTTTCCTTTCGCAAAGATCCATTCATTATTCCCTGACTTTTGCCAGAACACGAAACAAATACGTGCTTCCCTGCCGTTCTCGAAGCGACCACAATGGGATGGGCTTTGCACTACGAATACTATGTGCGAAAGTACAACTAGATTTTTTACAAAAGCGATTGATTGCTATATCCTTGGGCTAATTGGGCTTAATCGTAGACACTTTTGACAACCTAGCAGAGCTACGGTAAAAAATAGGTGTTTTTTCTTTTGGTTCAGTCATGTTTGTGTGTGTGTGTTGGTGTGTAAGTGTCCGACCGAAAACTTATAACTCCTGTCCCCGTGAACCTAGAACGTTTGAATCTGGTAAGATACAGGCAGCAGGGTGGGAACATTTACGGTGGGTTGGAGGACCGAATTCCACTCATGGAAGGCTGGCTTCGCGCGAAGTAAATGTTTGAGCTGAAAATCATAACTTCTGTTCCCGCAGACTTGAGAGTTATAAAATTTGTAGAAGTAGAGGAGGCAGGATTGACACTGACGTCACGATGGGAACACTGACGATAGAAGAGGCTGACGACACAATGGAACATTGACGAGAGGCCTTGGAGAGCAAGAACCACTCACCAACTAAATTCTAACGCATTTCAAGGCTAGGCGCAGTTATAGGAAGGATTAAGGGTATTTAAAGGCATAGTTCACGATAATTTTGAGGTACCCTTTTTAGGTAGAAAAGTGGAAATGTTGATGTAGAGGAGTACATCGGTGGCGAAGAAAGCGAGGAAATCCGACTTCTTCAAGGCTTCTAAAAGTAGTGGAAGTGGAGGAAATACGAGATCACCGTGATGCAAGGGTGTTTGGACGAGATTTAACTTGCTCCCATTGTGCAAAGAGCTGACTACATCAAGCTGAAGTCGTCCGAAGCTGCCTTTCCCTCTCGCCCTGGGTCATGACAAGTTGTTTGAACTTCCTACATGTGAGTCTATTGAGATAGTGCAGCCTCTACAAAGCCGTTGAAACTCGTCCAGGATGGGTTGGCATTCACACGATACAATCTCTGGCTCCTTATTGTGCCCTATCCATGGCGTTTTTCGACTTTATAACGGCAGGTATTGTATAAGGGGGAGCCTCGAAATCATACTAGATGGAAACATCAGAAACCAATTCCTTCATGAACTGCCTTTGACTGTAAGTAGATGAAAATTAGCCCATTTCTTGTTGTTAGATTACGGTTGCTCCCAGCAAAGTTTGTGACTCGATAAAGGATCACGGTATCTTCTTGCTTAGATATCACCAGTTGGGCTACGCACGCTAATGCGTGCACCACATGCCCACTATCGCTTACCCACGACCTGTAACAACAATAAATGAATTGAACTTTCATCTCTTCATGATAAAGGAATTTTAAGCGAGTCTTATTCACTGCGCTTACCACTTCCCTCTCTCTTTGGAACAAATGATACCCTTCGGAACACGAAATTCTATAGATGAGTAAAAGGGCAAATGATATTCAACATGTGCCGATGCCTATGCCTTTTGGATCTGTTGCTGTTCATCTCGAAAATATCATAAAATAGGCATCCAAAACTCTGAATGGTACTCACAAATGTTGTCGGGGTCATAATAATACCATTATCAAATGTCTTTATGAATGTAGCTCTTTTTCTCTACAGATACATCATTAAATGAGAGTCCAAGATTATTAGCGGTCGGATAAGTTTTGCCAAGAATTATGTCAAAGCATGGAGAAACCGTGATCCTTCATTGGCTGCTCCCAGACCTCGACGTCCGTCCGTCCGTCTGACGCGTGCGTGGTGCAACGGCGGCGCCTGACCTTTGTTGACAACACTGGATCACGTGCCAACGCTGTCAACACTACTCTGCGACCGCCGTCGCAGCACGAACGCGTAGGACGGACGGACGAACGGAAGTCGAGGTCTGAAAGCGGCCACTGAATCGCGAACTTCGCTGAGTAGCGGTCGTAAGCAAGAAGTGAACCAAATTTCATAATCGGTCCCTATCAATGCACTTATCCTTCTTGTCGAATGAAACATATCAAAGAATCAAAGCTAAATAGTAAATAGCAAAGGCGCTAGGATTCAATTGGTGATTGGATCTTGTTCCCTAAGGCCTCCTCTATCGTCAGTGTTCCCATCCTGCCTCCTCTACTTGTATTGATTTTGCTCTCCAAGTCCACGGGATCAGGAATTATGGATTTTCGCTCGGACAATTATTTTGCGCGCACCCGGCCTCCTATGGGTGGGGTCTGGTCCTCCCACCTACCATAAGTGTCCCCATCCTGCCGCTTATACTCCAGCCGAGTTTGAATGCCCTAGGGCCAAACTAATAATTTTGGCGCAAATCCCGCCCTTGTAGACATGGTCCGGTCCTCCCACCCGCCATAAATGTTCTCATCCTGCCTCCAATAATCCTGCTAAATTTGAGCGTTCTAGGTCAACGGGGACAGGAGTTATTTTCCGCTGGAGCATTTATTGCGCACAAACCCCCGCCCTGTGGGCGGAGTCCGGTCCTGCCACCTACCATATGTGTCCCCGTCCTGCCGCCTGTGCTCCTGCCAAAACTGAACATTCTAGGTCCACGGGGACAGGAGTTATGAATTTCCGTGCAAACAAACAAACAAACAGACAGACAGACAGACGCGAGCGCTTTATATATAGTAAGGATTCTTGGCAAAAGTTATCCGACCGCTAATAATCGTAAATTCTCATCTGGTGGTTTGTTCGCGGGAAAAGGAAGCTTCTTTGATAAAAACATCTGACAGTGGTCGACAGTAGACAGTCGATAACATTTGTGAGTACCATTAGAGACTTTGGTTGCCCACCAGTCGGACCCCCAATGGGTCATTATTTTTAAGATGAACAGCAACAGATCGAGACTTCTAATCATAGGCATAAGCTTCGGCACTTTTTCAATACCACTTGCATGCAGCGTTAGTATTCAGTTCGTGTTCCAAATTCCTATCTGTTTCAATAGGGAGCGGCCGGTATGCCAATTATTACAACTCTGTCATGAGAAGGAGGGAAGCTAGCCAGGCATTAGCCGGACAACAAGACTGGTAAAGGATAATGAGCTAGTGCGTTTAGATCATTTTTGGGCTGTTTTAACCGCACATCCTTTGAAAATAGCTCTCACATAAAAACTGTTCTTTGCTCATCCACAAATAGGAATCGACCTCTTTTTAAAATCCATTTTCGCGGAAAGAGTTTGGAGACGGTTGTGGGGAGTTGTGCTCTTCGAATTTCAAAACAGGTAATCATGATAAAAGTTGAAGGTAGACGCTGTTCAATATTCCGTCGGGTTTACGACTCTTAATGTAAGTTAAAGGCGTCCCAAACCTTTCAGGTGTGCAAGGCCTCCGAGTTCTCGCCACTGGACCTACTTGATGCACTTGCATTTAAGTGCAAAAATCAGAGCTTTTGTACTGCATGTTAACACGGTACGAAATTGATAACAGTTTCAGGACTGTCGGCGTACGTAGACTCGATTTCCTGGTTGTGACTGGTGTATGGACAAAGGGTGCAGCAAAGGCACAACAAATGGAAGAAATTCCGAGGATCAAAAGCACAGGGAGTGCGATTGGAGAGTAAGCCTGAATACGGGCAGGCTAGTCGAATGAGACTAGATTTAATGTCTCGAAAAAGAAATTCTCTCCTCCGAAGTACCATTACGTGGCATGCTCACGACAACAGGTGTAGATCTGAATCGCAATGGGTTGCAGGCCGTATGTGCTGCCTGATCCCATGGTGTCGGCCTTGGAATCGCAGAACAGCCGTGAACTTGCATCCGAAGGACGTGAGGCGGTTGCTCCATCGTCGCGCAAGGTGAGGAGAAGATGTAACTTCTAGTGGATGATTGCGGTAATTGCCACTGAACCACTACCGCGTGCGTGTATGCGACTGTAAGAATTGAAAGCAAAGCCCACCATCCCTAGGATAGCTCCACGGGGCTTGGACAGATTGGCTGCTTTCATAGTCCGCCGGCGTGCCAGCGTACCAGCCGAGGCAGTACTAGAGGGAGGAGGGAGGTAGACTGTCGGTCGACGCGGTCGCGTTGCGCCCAAGCCCCTTCGAAGGGCTGCTTCGACCGACCGTCTGTCTCCCTCCTCCCCCATAGCACTGCATCGGCTGGCACGCTGGCGGACTATGAAAGCTGCCATTCAGTCTAATTCTTGGGCACAAATAAATTGTTCGCTCATCAGGAATTAACTTTTAATGGGTACATTGGAGAGGAGAGAAGCGTGTCTGCAGTATAGTGAAAGAATTGTTCAAAATTGTTCGCCGCTTGATGAGCAGTTCCGAGAAGAGCATCATAAGGTAACAAGTCAGCAATGGGAGCCTGTGGCACATCCCCAACAAGTAGAACATGGGCGCTCAACATTTCCAATTACCCCTATTTTATTCATTTTCGGTCAATGATGGTAGTTGCTTTCCCTATCAGCCCTTTCCCTACTGAGCTTTTTATTTTCACAAACATGACTGCGACCCTGTACGTGACTCTTAAAACGTTCTGTGACATCTTTTATGCAGTCAATACATCAATTTCGTTAAATAGTCCATTATACAGTGACCGAAACCACGGGAGTTGCAGATATTTTCCAAAACCTCACGGAAACCTTCTGTAGGCACGTGGGCCTCTTAAGACTTAACAAGAAAGGTAGATTCATCTTACAGCTGGCCTCGTAAGGGCTCTGTTGTGTGTCACGCAATCTCTACATTTCGCAAAAGAAAAGAGTACAGAATAGACATATGACTGTATCAGTTCATGTGGACGAGATTTTTCCGCGTACCGACTACTCTACACTTGCTCATTCACCTTTGATTTTAACATGCAATCTGGGACCTTATAAGGCAACACTTTTTCACAGAGAAAATCGCACAGTGAGAATTTACAGTATCATGCAACTTGTGTTGCTATGTGTTGGACTGCCCTAAATTTCGGCGCTTTTCTTGGCCACAAAGACATAACAAAGCCGTATCTTTAGAACCTACCAAAGGCGACTGACTGATGATCTATTCAACACAATTAATTCTATTGATACAAACGATGCTAATTTTGCAAATGATGCTGAATATAGCTGATTAAATAGAGATCCCATACCGTGTAGGGGAGAAGGAAAATGAAACATTTCGATTCAAGGTCACCCTCACTTGTATAATATGAGGACAAACTCTTCTGAAATATTCAAGGTACTCACAACTTCTCGTGATCTATTCAAGACATGTGAAATGATTCTCAGAGGAATAGATCAAGACCATAACACCTAAAGACTTCATGAATCAGTGTTCCCGACAAGAATCCCAGTAGCATTGTATACCCTTGTGGATTCCCCCCTAACCGGGGCTACGTACACCACGTTCCATTGCCGCTAACGTTGAAATACGCAATTTACTAGATCATTCCTAATCCGAAACTTCTCTGTCTTCACGGGAAGTTTCTCTGGTTTTCTTCTTCAGCATCCGATATATCTTGTATGGGAAAAATAACTCAACTTGCAACTTATTACCATGTTATACGCTATTACCCTCGCATATTGAAGGCACATTTCACTATAATTGAACTATTTTCAACTAAATAACGGAAGTGATCGCGCAGAATAGTGGATGCTTCGGTGACGAAGAAAGCGAGGAAACAGCCGAATTCGAAAATTGCTGCTAAAGAATTGTCAATTAGGCGGTAGTACGAGATTGTGACAAAGTGGCAGGGAAGTGAAGAGCTGACTGCAGGAATCGGAAAAATGCTTTCCATGTCACCAGGGGTTGGGACTGCGCGCAATATAAATTTTGGGAGCTTCATATGTTATTCCGTTTTTTCTCTGATCACTCTTCAAATTTTAACATATCTGCTCCATTATGCGTGGCACACTCTGAACAAGGTTCCTAAAACAAAACCATCACTGGACGTGGCATCCACTGACGACAATTTTTGAGCCCTATTACAGAACCATTCTTGTCGTGAACTGTTTCATTAGATGGAAGCTGATCTCACACACACACCTCAGTAGGATTGTTCAACTTCGTGTACGTACATACTATTTCTCATCGACCCTCAGTGGATCCCCTCTTGAAGTTTCCCGGTTCCGCTAGCTGTTGGTAGATTCCGTTTCAATCAATGTCGTTTGCGCGAAGAAGTACTCAATAAGAGTGGGTCGGTGTCGCTCTGGAAAACTCATCACGGAACGCACGCAGATGGAAAAGAACGAATGAAAAAATGTTCATAGAACGACTGTACTAGTTCCGGTTTGAGAAGTGAACGAGTCGAGTTTGAAAGGCCTACAACTGGTGGCAGTTAAATGTTCGGGCTAAATCCAGAACTCACTAAATTGGCTCTAGAAAATGAAATGGTTGTGTTTGCTAAGGTACAGACTGAGTCTGTTAGGTATTTGAAGCGGACGGAGGTACTTGTCCCTTCGCCAGAGACGCGGAAGTTCTTGGCTCGTCAGCAACAACATATTCGAGTGTTGGACGATCGATGATCGACTAGCACTTGTTGCTTGCTGGCATCGATCGAGTGGTTGGCTAGATATCGGCTATCACTACTTTGTTATCACCTATCACAACTGTGTTCCGTTCCGTTTTTATGAGCTCGTCTCGTTTCAGACGTTTTGAAACCTTCGAAATTTTCTGAAATTCATACCAATCTCCAATACAAAGCCTTCGCTTTCTAATTTATGACATTTTCGTATATTGGTAGATATTTAGGTTTTAATTAACGAAAAGCTCTCATTGAAATACATTTGGCCCATCGAACTTTGGAGTGATACTGAACACCATTTTATTGCGATGACCCGTCGATCTTCGTAAGGTGCTGATTCTCCAAACAGCTATGATGGAATTTACCCCATTCCCCATTTCCTTACCGAAAGGCAGGAATGAGTGACCAGGGATCGATTAATCGCTCAGTATGTGAGTGGTGTTTTTCAGCATTTACTGCATTTCGGTTCAGAAACTAAAGTACTCTAAAATAAATTTTGTCGTAGTATGTACAATCAGTTATTAAATTCATAAGTAGACTCATTCTATATCAAGGACGTGGCAGTGCAGGGACAAAAATGCAGCTAATGCGTTATAGGTGCAAAAATTGAGTCCCATCCTAGCATTCAATCTGCACTGCTGTAGCCTTGGTATTTTACTCACCTTGATATGACTCACATATAGATATATTGAGTCTAAGTTGGATTGACTGTACACATTACGATGGAATTGACTTTTAAGTTCTTTTCTTTACCACTGGTGGAGCAAATGATTCATATCAGGGTGCTTATAAAATAAGCTCCAACGGCGGATGCCAATGTCTTAGCATAGGCCTGATTTGGACTCTGAGCACTTCCTCGAGTATTTTGAGTTGGAAATGACGGAATTAAGGTTCTCTTCTTGTCAACTTCCCGCTGCATTGAAAGGCATTGCTTGCTTCACAAATGAAACAGTACAGTGGAGATGTGCTCTTAGCTATGCCAAGTAGAAGCTATAATACGACGACTATCGAAGGCGACTTTTCCCTTGTTTCTTGGCATGCCTTCAGGACCTGTGACTTCATAGCTTGCCGCAAGTACCGCAAGTAAACATTAGAATTCGCTCATTTGCTAGAAATGACCAATTTCTGGAATTCTCAGAAAAAGGAATGTGAGAATCTGAAAGCTGCCAAGAAGAGCTTTCATGAGTAAATGCGAAAATTGCCATCATTTCCATACCAATCAGACGTTTTTTAAAATGATCGCTCTGTCCAAATGCATGCTTTCGCTTAGAAAACGAAATCGCTCACAATAATATTAACTTTTTTCGTTGTTTGCACTTTGTGATAGCACTTTGTTAGCAGCATCCTGCCATAAGATTTCCAAGGCACGGCTCGTAGGTACATATAGTTGAAGTGAAAAAGAATGGAACGGTAGCGAAGAGAACAGCTTGGAAATAAAACGGAGTCCTAATCGAACCCCCGAACGCATTGTTTCGAATTTAAACCCTCTAATTTTGAACGAGCACATCTCATGCTTCACTCAAGGAGCTCAGATCAGATTCATCGAGACGCCCTGCTTCTCGATGTTCAAAAATACATGAATCCCATTTTCCTTATCAGAAAAATAACATTTATCTCCACCATAAGCGTTAAACACGTTTCTTAGCTTCTTGCTCACTACGGGAGATTCTTGCAAATGATCGTAGATTGAAACGAGACCAGCTTTTTTTTTTACATACTTCATTTAGATAATAATATTTGAATTAACATATCTATGTCCTGAGTCCATGTCGGCAAATATGGCGAAGATTGTCAAGTAATGCTTATGTCATTCTTTTGCGAAGCATAGTGGAAAATGTTCATACATACAGCAGTTAAATTCTATGTCACTGTCGTCATACGGTCTGCTCGGTATATTAGGTTTCATATAGATATAATGTTCTTTCTAAAGAATATTTTTCAATTTTATTATATTTTTGGCTAATGAATAGCTTGACGAGGAAAACCGACTTTTACGTGCAACCGAGAAACGGAATTGACTACCACTGAACAGTCTCCGGTCAGCACGCAGTGTGAGCAAAGATTGACTGAAATAAACAGACGACGTCAGTGGCTAAGTGTTCACTGGAACCCTTTAATTTCGTATGACTCGTTATTGTTCGTGGTTCAGCATTGCTGGTTTGGTCTCGCCGGCCTCGAAACCTTCACCAATAGGAGATCAGATGTGTGGACTTTCATACAAGATGACGAAAGCTTCGTGGGTGCAATCACTTATTCTTGCCCGGTCAAAATATGGAATTCAGTAACGAAGGGACAGTGTCAGCTGTATAACCACGGAAGAAGACATAAAGCCGCGGGATGTGGTTATTTCTATTCGAGGCTCCGCTTCAAAATCATAAGTATCTATGTTAAATTATCCAGAGCTGACCTATCAGTTAGAAGAATTTTTGCCTACCTCTAGGGTGTTTGCCACTGTCACGCGCGCTGCCACGAAGCGGAGAGTGAGTGTCATATGTGAAATAAGGTGTTTAAGTCTTGATCATAGTAGCGTCTTTCATCTCTCTGAAGTTGGTCACGTGTTAATACCTCCGTTCAAGCCATTGAGCCGAATGTGCACAGCATCTTGAAGAAACTGATCGGTAAATTCTAAATCCTTCTAGAATTTTCACTCACCGACTTCTATCCTATCTATCTGTATCACCAGACAGAATGGAAAGTCGTTATTGGAGTGTTATAAGTAGTAATCGACAAATGTTCACTTGTGCGGCTGACGACAACACTAAAAGGGCCGTCGACGAATTTCGGAACCGGTATATCAGTGCTGATATGCGTCGTCAATTCTCCCAGAAGTCACGTAAGCTCGAAGAACGTTTACGTGACTTTCGCAAAGATACAGTCTCACCACGCCCATTGCAATCATCTGGGCTGCTACATAAGGCCTCCACAATAGAACATGCATTCGTTGACAATGTATACTTACCCATCAGCACCACATCGACAGATTTGTTTGTAATAACTACTTACCGCAGCCTGACAACTCTCTCCACTTTGTTCCGACAATGTATGCCGCTGAGGCTGATGTTGAGGCTTTCAATCTCCGAGTTCTCTCTTGTTTTAATTTCGGCATTTTCATTTACGTTGTTAGAATTCCTCTTCCGTTCGAAGTTCCAAGTGGAATACTTTATTAAATTAACGGCCTAACGTTTCGACGTGATCGTCGTCTTCAGAGCCCTGAACGCAATTCGAGATGTTTTACAATATCCGATAGCGTTCGACTAAGTTTCGGTCGTTTTTTGCTTGAGAGTCAAACGCTATCGGACACTGTAAAACATCTCGAATCGCGTTTAGGCCTCTGAAGACGACGGTTACTTCGAAACGTTAGGCCGTTGACTAGTGTGTAAGTGTTCCACCTGAAAACCTTGAACGAACTACGTAAACTGATATTTCAGTTTTCCATTCTACGAGCAAAATTTCTGGAAGACATCAACAGTGGTAGAAGCGTAGTTGTGGAAGTAAGTAATAGAGGTAGAACTTGATGACATTACGAACCTTCGTTAGCTTATTTTGCTTTCACCTTTGTGATTCCCAGACTATGGTTCATACAAATAAGCGGCTCGATCCCCTTCCCTGTTCTTCATAGTGCATTGTTCATTCTTTCGTCTCTACAAATCAAATTTTCTGAATGGCAATGAAACCATTCGACTAATCTTTCCCACTCTTCGTTCTTTCTTCCATCGTGAGTTCTCCTACATACTGGGTTCCGTTTTACTAATTCCATCTTTATCAGTACCATCCGATCGATCTCAGCGTCGTCTGATGATCGATAGGCTACACCCATTGCGTCACGCCATTTTTTCCAGTCGAATAGTGATTGCAATTCTGAATTGCTGCGACACGATCACATACATACAAATGGTGGTGGTAGACCTGTATCGCGAGATTCGAGTTCCAGTTCTACCGAATGAGTCCTGCCTGATGTCCAGCGTTCAACAACTCATCTCTGAAGACTATGTCTGGGCTATGGTCCCTATCGTCTTGTGGATTTCCACTGTAGGTTGATGAGTACGAGAATATAAACTTAAAATGAGAATTAAAAAATTTTGATCATGAAAACAGGTCCATACGTCACTGACTTATGGGAATGTCTTCAGGTGATCTACGGCACATTCAACGCCGCCTCCGTTTTCTCGTCGTTAAGCCTTCGTCGATCGTTTAAAGAGCTCACAATGGAACGTCATTCACAGCTGGACGTTCTGGACGTGTTTCGAGTGGTTGCCATCATTTGGGTGATAGTCAATCATACCGGTAGCGAAGGACGAGTCGATATTCTTGATCGGTTACCCTCAGCTGAGAAGTTCAAGGTAAACAGCCAGTCCGATTTAAATGAGTTAAATGGACAATTATTTTACTGTAACACTTCTGGCTGCAAGTGACTTCCTAAAATAAAAAAAAATACTCATGTTCTCCATAATGGACCCTAAAAAACTGCTACTTAATTTAAAAAAGCCCAGGAATATTTCGGTATGTCGCCACCTGCATCCTAATCTCTAGTGCTGTATACTGCATCACCGAAACCTGACTTTCAAGCGATCGCTGGCGAAATTTCGTGAAGCCTCCGTCTCATAATGAGTACCTTTCCACCAGTAGATCAAATCCATTTATGGCAAGTTTGTTGAGTGAAACTTGTGTCGAGCTTGTTCCCGTGAACCTGAATTGTCCAAAACCGCAGAAGTACAAGTGACAGTATGAGAACATTAACGATAGGTGGCTGAACTAGACCTAGTCCACAGGGGTGGAGCGTGAGCAAAAATTGTCAAATTGGAGCCAGACCGCTCACATTTGGTAGGACCACAGATGAAAGTATGAGAATACCGATGATGACCTCAGGACTAGACTCCATAGGGCGTGAGTGAAAAATTTTGATTTGTGTTCGGATTGATAGAGTACAGACGACACCATGGCAGTGTTGAACGTAGGTAGCGCGACAGGACTCCGCCCGCAGGGGGCGGGGCGTGCGCGGAATCGTTAATCTGACCATAGACCGGGCTGCAGGCGGTGATGGTAGGTGGTGCGCCTAAGCTGCCCTCTGTAGGCGGACATTCCGCATAAATTGTTCACTGTGTCCGCAATTGTTGAGAGCCTGACGTTAAGCGGGTGATCCCACTGGTCAGAGTACATGTCAAAGTTTAATGCAGTACAACCGTAAGAAATGCGATTTCCCGAAAGTACATGCAACTGACGCACTACCTCACCTCACACCCATTCTCCAAGTTCGACTCCCGGATCGATCCCAGGCCAAGCAAACCTTTCATCTCTCTGGGGTCTTCCGATCGATATCCTCCAGGGCCAGGCAAACTTTTCACCCCTCCGGATTAGCTGGGACCAGACTCGTCTGTGAGGATAAAACACTGACTTGTACATCGCCTGGCCACCGCAAGTCATTGTATGGGCCACGTATGCATCCATTACGCCACTTCAATTCTGAACGGAAGTCAAATATGGGGGCATCCTTTAAAGGGGATTAATTACGTCAAAAACTTTATCCTCTATAACCTGGCTGCGCTTAAACTTTTTCCAATATATTACATAAAAATTTTGCGATTACAATCTAATTTTGAATCCATTTCAAATAAATTCCCATTTTCGTCTCCTCGCCTTACCAAAAATCTAGGGGAAAATTTAGTTTAAGATGTATCTCTTTTCCATCATGAAGCGCCACAGCACCAAGACGGAGAGGTAGCCAATTTTGCGAGTCCATAACGATGCTTAGGATTACTTCTTGGCCTGAAAAATAGTTTTTTCTTTCTAAACCTCAGAAGAGCTTACAAGAGATGGAGCACCGGGGTGAGTGAGTCGATTGCATGTTTAAATCTTGACCCATCTCGTTTTCTGCACAAAGTTGCCATCTCACTTACTCCGATGCTCCTCCTCTCTACAGGCTTTTATAAAAAAAACTATTTTTACCAGATTTCCCTATTCTTCATATCAACCTGTGTATTTTGTGGCAGAACACACAAGCAAACAGAATGAAGAAGGGGATTTTATGTGTAGTTTTTTCTTCGATATCCGGATGCTTATAGTTTGTTCTGACCATAGTGACCAGTGAGCTTATGATTTTCAGGAATCCGTGCACAATAATCCAATATTTGGTGCACTGCTTGGCAACTCTGCCCTAGGTGTCGAGATCTTCCTCGTGCTGTCTGGGCTGTTATGCGCCCGATCATGGCTGAGGAGAGCGGATCAACCGTTTCTGAGACACTACACGACATTCCTCATAAGACGTGTGCTTCGACTGATTCCATCGGTTATTTTCTTCATCTACATAGTAGCTGGTCCTATCACGAGAAACTTTTTGCCAAGGTGAGTACCGTGAAAATCAGTTATTGATATGAGCGGAAACCCAGGAAAATCTCAAGAGTGATGCTTTTTCGATGAATGGCGCTGTCCATTTCCTGCATGCTAACCGATGTCCAATACGATAACCTTGATGTAGTTGTGGCTGCGACGAGGCAGCCACACATACATGGATTGCACAGCGAAGCATAGTGTAGAGCTACATTGTTATGTAGCACCAATCCGTTTACAATTAAATGCTTTAGTGGCCTGAATTTTGTTACTTATCGCAGAACATGTGACGCTTCTCCATAATTTTAGCATCCTCATGTTCGAGTTGTATAAGTACTGAATGACCGACAACTATGTTAAAGAGCTGAAAACAATCCAATTTTACGCCCCAATTTCCAGATTCCACTCGACCATGATCTCCGCATGTGGTGCTGCAGGAATCGCCGCTCATCTCACTTTCCTCGGCAATTGGCAATCTACCCCCACTTGCTTAGGATATTTGTGGTATCTCGGATTGGATATGCAACTTTATATCATGGCTCCATTTCTTCTGCACACACTTTACAAACGACCTGTTGTGGGAAAACTATTATGTGCAGTGCTAATCGTATTGTCGATCATCATGCGAGCAGGCTACTGTACCGCGTATGGTGTCTGCCACAAAAGTGATGTAGACATACCGGTGAGTATATGCGCTCGGTTATGCTCGCTGTTCAGAAACGCCGAGCACTATGTCCAACTGGAAATTGCTGCTTTTTACGAACGAATATAGTTGCTTTGGAAAATTTCACCATTTCAGTTCATCTCGTACCCAGGACAAGACCCTGCAACATTAGCCAGCATCTATGCTGGTTTGTGGGAAATGTATGGTCGACCTTACACTAAATGTGGACCATTCATACTCGGGCTGCTGCTCGGGACTGCAACTACGAGCATGAAGCCCAGTTTGAGTCGCCACAAGTCACGCTGCATCGCCAGCGCCTTCTTTGCGCTCTGCATAGCTGTGATCTATGCAATTCTGCCGCAGTACTGGTACGGCGACTATCTGAAACACTACAATTTGTATTACACTGCGACTTTTCGAACAATTTTTGCCATTGGTATATGTGGAATGATCAGGGCATTCGTTTTGCGGTTAGAAAGGTTTGTACCAGTTCTCGCACTTTTTACTTGATGTTACATAGGATTTACGAACATTTCCGTCTTCCGAAACACAACAGACTTAAAACCAGACCCAGACGTAAAAGAATAACAAAGTCGTTTGAATTGTAGATAGTAACGTGTGATTCGCCGAGGGAATCATGACTTTGTGGCCCTTTATCAGATTGATAAAGACCACCTGTCGTGTAAAATACAACGCACTGGACGTAACTCTGGTAATAGGTCGCTCCCTAATTTCGGAAAATACAATTGAAAAGAAAAACAACGTAGAACACATTGGAGATTAGCTACATGACACCACTTCAACACTAGATAGCAGGAAGGCGCTCGGGAGCGCTCAATGAATGAACTCAGTATAGGCTATTTCCTTTTAGGGTCCGCTTTTCAAAAATCGAAACGCTAGATCCGGAACTTTGTAATATTCATGAGCTCCTTGTTTCAAGGCATTGAAACATGATAAGCTTTTTCCAGCAAATCAACTTCAGTCGTATGGTCAATACTAGCTCGCCTCACGTACAACACCTATCTCCTGCACATGCCTGTCATATACCTCTTCAACTACTCGCAGTATCTTCAACAGGCCGACGGCGCTACAGAACTGGTAGTAGTCGTTCCTTTCGTGGCTCTGTTAAGTTTTGCTGCCTCTGCGGTGTTCTACTTCTTTGTTGAGGCTCCTATCGGATACGTAACTTCTTATTGGGTAGAGCGAATAGATAGCAATCTGGTTCGTTTCTCCAATAACTTTAAAATAATATTGAGGAATTCTCTTTCCCGATTAGCACTTTGATCCTTGCTCTCTTCACTGAAGTGGATAGCTATTCAGTTTATCCAGCCAGTAATGATCTACAGTCCAAGTCCGGTAGTTAGACGTTCTTACCACGGCCTAGACTCTATTGGTAACACCGCGACTGTGGAAGCATAATTGCATGTACATATGCAGACTCCGATCCGGTTGTATTTCTATTTTTTTTTTTGTATTTTGTTCCTCATTGTTTGAATCTGTCATTTAATGATAGTGTCTCCGACACGAAAAAAAAAATAAAGAACACTGTTCGATATCGTAAAACACGGTGTGACCGTAAACATACGAAGTCGTGACTCTTTGGAATTTTTCGCTCCGTCATTGTGCATGAACTAAGATGAATGAAAAGATAAGGTTTTGGCTTCGATTCACTGTATCGGGGCGCCATTTGGTTTCTAAGCGGGTGGTTCGTCAGCTTGTACATGCCTCATGCGAAGATCCATTCATCGTCTGGGTGTGCGAGCCCCTGTACGATTGAGGTCACTTCGCATCTCAGCTCGAGTCGGTCTTGAATAGGTGTGAAAACTATTTCATTATGCTATCTGCATATCCTACTTATTATAATCCGCTAAGTGCGTCTGTTGATGTGTTTGTGTATATATGTCGTGTGTGTATGTCTGTGTGTGTCGGTGTGTGTTTGTCTGACCGGAAATTCATAACTCTTATCCCACTGGACAGGAGTTATGAATGGCAGAATCGGCAATTGCCCACAGAGGGTGAGTGCGCGAAATAAATGTGTGAGCGGAAATCAATAGCCCCTGCTCCGAACCTAGAGCGCTCAAATTTCGTGGCAGCATAGGAGGCAGTATGGGAACACCTATGGTAAGTGGCAGGACAAGTCCACGTCCCCGGGGCGCAGCGTACGTAAAATAAGCGTAACGTCAGTGGATTTGCACAATCAAGTTGAAAAAAGGGGGAAATGAACCAACTTAATCAAACTTACATGATATGAGCAGAACTTCGCTCATGACAGGCGGAAGCCCGTAAAGTGTGTCCGTGTGGTTACCGAAAATCCTTACCTACTGTTCTATTGTACCAGAGCATCCATGTGTGGAGGGAGGTAGGTGACGGGCCATTTTTCATGGAATAGCGCCGGCCTCACGCCGGGCAAGCCGACTGGTTGCTATTAAGCGAGTAAAAGATGAAACCTCAGAAGAATGGTAACAATAAGAAGGTAAAGCAACTTGAGAAAACTATGATTTGAACCGGAAAAAACCGGCTGCTTTCATATCCACGATTTGGCCCGCGACCGGTCGAGGTCAAATCGTGTCTATGAAAGCAGCCTGAAAGTGAGATTATAGATTGTATTCATGTAAATAGCTGAAGAATAACTATTTTCATAGCAAGCAAAACCGTTTGTGTAGATTTAGTTGACTATTTCAAGTTTTTTTTGATCTTTCTGAAGTAATCTACACTATACATTGCTTTGCTTTCATTTAGTAACGGTAATAGAACTTTTGATTTTAATGAGTTATGCTGGTGTGCACGGAAATTACAAAGCACATGGCACGAATACTTCACTAGTTTAAAATCATTTATTTCGAAATGCTTCACTTTACTACCCTTACTGTCCTTTTCGTTCAGGACAGACATCAATTTGAAAACAGTTCCCCCACTGTTTAATGGTGGTGCGAGGTAAATATAGAAGTAATATTGCATACCCTCTTTATTTATTCACCTTTTACTAGCTAATTATAAACCATATGGTGAAACATATTGGCTTCAACGTACCAAAGTCCCCACATTCAGCCTCTCATACTAAACTCCCGTATCTTGCCATCGTCGTAAACAAGATTTTGCCTTGCGTAACTATTATACCTTTCGGGCTCGCAATTTTTTCATTTCTCATCAAAGGTAATCGAAAATGGAAAACAATTAAGCGCCTTCAAGTCACGCACACGAACCAACCGGCTAAGGTCACCTGTAGCAGGAAGTTCTTCCGAGGTGATTCCTTTTCGTGCAATGGCCGTACAGCCAGAAAAAATGTTCAGAATAAACTTAAATAGGCTCTATCACATTGGGTTGGAGGGTGTAGGCGGACGAAGGGGCGAATGGAACGTCCGTGAAATGAGCGTAGAACTTGAGCGGGACTCCGCTCATGGCGAGTGGGATGCGCACTAAATGTGTTGGTGAGTGTGTGTTGTGTGTGTTGTGCATGTGTACGTGTGTTAGTGTGGGCGTCCGTTATGGAGGGCTGCAAACGACGGGCCGATTTTAACTCGCAAATGAGTGGGAACCACAAAATTAGCAAAACTGGGCCATGCAGTTCACCGCTTCATGGGGAAGGCCGTGTGAAGTTTGTTAGGTCCTGTTGGTTATCGGTGTGCTGCGAGTAAGTCACAGCCAGTGACGGCTATTCTAATATGGTTGCTTCCCGTTTCCTTGAAAAAAATTGTTCTGGAAAGGGACAAAGTTTCGGCGATTCATTCACGTATCCGTGACCGTCTAACAATACTACGAAGAAATGCTGTTCGAACTTCATTGATTACTGTCTAAATGCATACCTCGTTGTAGATCACCGCAGAGCGGTCTTGCTCTACAATATATCCATATTAGTGGGCATACAACTTCACCGCCAGCGCTTTAACCCATTACCGCATAACCACTTTATAACCATTATCACTGCTCCATCATTGCTCTCTCGCCTGCTCCATCTGCTGCTCTATCATATTGATATTGAAATACCTTGCATTGTTCCTGCGTTGTATTATAGCAGAATTTTCGCGGGGTAGTACTAAATACTTTTTGCAGATTATTTTTGAAACTTTGTCCAACCGAAATCCGCTAGATACGTCTACAACGCGGGAGGCACGTTATATAAAAGTAAGAATAAATGTATAAAAGTAAAATTCCTCACAATAAGTGTAAAAGTAGTTTTATGCAATGCGAAAGTTATGATACGCCCTAAAGTAGTATAGAACACAATGTTCACAAAAGTTTAACCACAATAAAAAGCTGCCGTCAACTTTTTAGTAATTGACAGCTGAGGGACCCGTTACCTTCAGCATGAATGCAGATGCATTTCCAAATTCTTCCCTTTACATTCTTCGCAGTGTTCTATATTGTTTTGTCGTACAGGTTTGTTAGCTGAACCGCTTATTGGTCAGAGATCGCTAATGATGGAGTTAAACAATCATCAGTGATCTTTTGCTGGCTCCTACTAGTAAAGTTGTGCTACCACTTCGATTAACGACTTTGACGTGTTTACAGACAGAAAGGGAGTGGTGAATTCAATGTGTTTACCAATTGAACAGTCAGCGATATATAATAAATTACTGACAAAAAACATGTTATGTAAATATTTGAAACATTTTTGTAAAAAAAAAATAATTTTGTTGAAGCTAAATCACCCAGGCTAGGACTTGTGAAGGTCAAAGTTGTCTTATCTTGAAAAATTAGAGCTTCCAAAGTACGGATCCCAAAAAGACATAAAGCCGCTGGTTACGGTACCAGTGTCGAAGACCATATTATCTAAACATTTATTATCAAAATCTTCATTGAAAGCGGCATGATACAACAAACTAACATTCGATTCACAAAGAAAAATAATAAAGTTGGGAACACATTAACATTAATGCAGTAGCTCTGAACTTATTATCTCAATCGGTGACAATGTAGCGCAAGGTCACTCAACAATCGCCTTCGACGCGCATCACTGTCACATTCTTTCAACTCATAGAGAAGTCGCTAAACCATAGGGCGGTTGGCTAGGCGAAGCGCAGAGTGAGATTCAACGAGTCATGGATTGAATATGGTATACTCCATTAACTGACGAGATAGCGAAGACTGATTCATTTTTCCACATCGAAATTACCTAAAGGCATAAAACATCACATGACTCAAAAAGTGACATTTTTTCTGTTCTATCAGTTCATTCCGGAAGATGTGAAACATTGAGGCGATTTTTTTTTTGTTACTGTATCGGTATTGACGAACTTGGTCAGACATTTGAACTTTTATTCCTGCAGGCCCGACGTAAAACATGCGTGTTCTGCCGCTTTTACGGATAATGTCACAGTTCTTCAGTGCGCTGTATAACTCATCCTAGAAAAGGTAAGCGGGCAATAACTGGTTGAGTTGTAACTCGTAATAACTTTCCATGAGAAGAAACTCACTCTTGACGTTTGCTTAAGATGAACCAGCTTATAAAGAAGCTCTCCACTGAAGTTGTTCGCTTCTGCAACATAAATACTGAGTCCTCCCCTTACTTCCATCTCTTTGTTCGTGGGGTCTTTGCAAGTATTTTCTGTTCTGAAACATTTTACCATTACGATGATTGAATTAGCTTCCGAAATCTCTTTTTCCAATTAATATTTTAATATTCATAGGACGTTCACAGTTTCAAAACGAGCGTGCAAACGAAGCGCACACATTATTCAGACAGAAAGGGAACATATGTACGCACTGCACACTAACAGGCAAGCCAGGAAAATCTTAGTAAACTATACCTAGTCTTAGTAAATTGAAGGAATTTGACATCACATCCTTACCTGCTCTTCAACGTAGAGTAAATGCAATAGGCATGCGACCTCTCTAGACCGATAGACATTAGTTCATCAGGCGTTAATATAGCCAATCCTTGCAAGGTGAAACTGCAGAAAAATATAAAATCAGATTAGGAGATTAGGTTATAAGTCTTTAATCATCTACGAGTTTAAACAATCAAATGAAATGCTAGAGTTTTATGTTGCAAAGAGAATACATTATGTTGTGTTTAGAGCTTTATTTTTTCTTATATTAACATCGGAACTGAACCGAAGCTTGTTTAAAAAAGTATCGCTATTGAATGCTTATTTTTCACTTTTGCTTCTTTTTTTTATAACATTTCCTCATACGAGTCACAGAACAACCCTCGTGCTCATATTGTACTTGCTGAGAACTTGTCAACCTTCGCTCAGGCTTGTTGGGGCAGCCGATAAGCTTCTCTGTCTCCCATCCCAAGCACTTGTATAATATAATACATGTAAAAAAGTGTAACAAGAGTTTTCGAATGAACGTAGGCAAAAGTGCTCGTACTCCTTTACAAGGTTACACACTTTCGAAGAGAAAAAAATACAAAAACACTTAGAAAAATGAGTACCCTGTAAATCTTGCTTTGTATTGGTCCAATTCAAGAGATTCAAGGAATCGGTGAACTTCCGACGACGTATGGTTTGGGCTAAATTAATGAGTATATGGACTGGGAAATAGTTCGGGAATGGAGGAAACTTACTGAATAGTACTTTTGTTCACTTCCTCTGGAACCACAACGTTGAGTATTTCTACAGAATCACTTCTACTATCTTTTCGGACATAAGATGTAGATAAAGATGGCAGAGCGCTATTTGAAGTGTTTGATGAAACATGTTCAACAGGTTGCTCGGTACTGGAAGCGATAGGTCATTTTGGCGACAGACTTTTACCAATGCCATCACTTACTACTCACCGATTTTCGTTAACCACAGTCGCATCGCAAACTTTGCGGCGTTTGGATATCGGAAGGGACGTTTGACGCGCCTGAAATGGCGTTTCTGTGCACTGCTTCAAAAAACAGAAGGATACAGAAGAATAGATTGTCCCATTGCTAAAAATTTTTTCAGAAACAAAACTGTCCACGTCCCAACTTTCCTTCATTCATTTGAAATAGTAGTATGCAGCTGTCATTGAAGTTAATGGAGAATTCATTATCTGCTATGTCGGTTTCACATAGGTTGAAGAGTGTGGTTTTCTCGTTCAGGCATATTAACTTTGTCAGTGCATTTCTCCGGGAATTTATTTTGTAATTAGTTTCAAGGACGGTTCTAGACATTCTACTCACTATGAAACGCTTCTGTCGTTCTGTCTGTCGTCTGTCGTTATGTGTGTCTGTCACGAAATTCCTTGGGTCCTTTAGATCTGCCTGATCTGATTTCAAATTTAGTCACAAGACGGCTTCAAAACTGGGGTTTAAAGGTGGTAAGATGTGTGCATTGGTAAGTTAGATCGAACTGGGGAGACCCACCCCGATGGGCGAGGCGTTCTCCAAAAATGCAGTGCTTTATGAAAGCATTTTGGAAAATCATAACTCCTGTCCCGGTGGACCTAGAGCGTTCAAATTTGGTAGGAGTGCAGGCAGCACGATGGGAACACTTATGCAGGACGGCAGGACCCGACTCTGCCCATAGTGGGCGGGGTCTGAGTAGAAATTCATAGCACCTGTTCCTTTGGACCTAAAGCGCTCAAATCTGATGGGTGGTGCAAGTGGGGAGGCCATTTTAAGACGAGAAGGAGAGGAGCCGGCGTCAGCCGGGCGAGCCGGCTGGTGCTTAATATCTGCTGTCAAGAAGAAGTTATAGGCCAATTAGCACGGAGGGATGTTGTTAGCTTACTGCCAGTCAACGGTAGCCCAACATGTTGAGGAGATTTTCGTAGACAGCCCGCTGTGTCTGAGCATTGCCTATCTTTCCAGAAAAAAAAACTGAGCGATCTCTAAAGCTGCTGTTAAGCTATAGACTACTTGGTTGCTTGTACCGTTCGTGACCAGAACACTGAATAAACTCCTAGAACGAAAACGTTTATTTTGGCGCACCCAACTACGTTGAGGTCGAAGTTCGATTTCGATAGGCATCTCAAAGCTAACAATCGAAATGGAAACGGAACTATGGCTGAGGCAATGGTTCCCTAGGCAATGATGGAGACAATACGTTGCAGTAGCCATCTGTACATTCAAGCAGCCCCTTTAAGAAAACAGCAGAGGCGACCTTCAGCACTAGATGATTACTGAGATGTGCTGTTTTATTCGAACGAGCTGAGAACCTTGAGGCCGAAGCGTTGATAACGAATCCAATGGAATTACGTTAATTTCTGAACAACTCCGATTTCACACAGAATGCTTCAAGCCTTGATGCTGACACATCGGCAAGAAGTTTTTCGGATTTTGTGCTGAGCCATGTTAGTTCAATTTATTTCTAGGGTTATCGAGCATTCACACGATTCAGTAAGCATTGTAAAGCGCGTAGTGATGAGGATGTTATGCCGCTGCTAGCAAATTCGAAGAAACAGTCCTTCTCATGTCTTGTAAACAGCTGGAAGCGCGGGCACTGCATCTATCTCTGCCAGTTCGATAACACCGTACTACATAATCGCAAAATTTTGAAAAATCCACAGTCTTACCAGTCACCGATTCTGCTACCCNCCCCCCCCCCCCCTCCTTCTCTCCCCCTTCCTCCCCCTCCCTCCCCTCCCCTCGGTTAGTTCATTACTATATATCATCGAGCAAGGTCGCTCTAATCTATAGAGAAAGAGCATAGGCTTTCATATGTATAAGTGATGAGGTCCTTTTGAACAGTTCCGGGCTTCAGATTTTAGCGTAGATTTTTTGCCAATCTGTTTACCATCCTTTCCTGACCTCCATGAGAATGAAGAGATGACACCACTATAACCTTTTTAATGAATCGCTTTACAATTCAGAAGACGTATTACATATATGGCGTGGTATGTACTGGCGCGTGAAAACCTGCCTGGTTCTAGGTGCCCAAATAACCACTACGATTAGCAGCTCTTCCCTCGTACTTATCCCACTAATTAGTTGCCTATAAGAACTAATGATATTGGTCCCTCCTCTGACTTTTTTTTTTGATTCTAATCACTCTTTGTTGCCTCATTGCTGAGGATATTTGCAACAATATATTTCAGTAACCCAAAAAGATGTCCCAACCGTGATTCTAAAGTGGCAGGAACAGTTTCATTAATAATAGCTCCTCATTTGTTCTCTTACCTTTTTTACGACGTTGCTCTGGCTGTTGCTCTTGGAAATGCTCTCCAGTTTCCACGCACTGCGATTCTTTTTCACTGTTTTTTCGGAACGTCTGCTTGCTGCAGATAGAAACAAATCGTTTGGAAGAGGATGCACTTAAGAAGGCTGTGAAAATGTCAAACCTCATTTCCACCTCTGCTCTGTTCATGTGGCCTCAGTGAAGCACACAAGTACAAACCAATTCAAATATCGCTCGTAAGACGCGCAGTTTTTCTCCTACAGTCCCATCGGACCAAGATAGAGTGGAACGCTCCTTTAGCCATTGCGTACTAAGCGTCCATTTACAATTAGGAAATGGCTCAATCTCAGCAAAACCCTTCCATATAAGCTGCCCCTGTGGATGTGTGCACGCCGGCTTTGCGCAATATGGCGGTGCGCAGCAGAAACTGGTTTAAACTGTGGAGCATGCCAACTTTACTATGACATTTCATTCATTCTTAAGCTAGAAGAAAGTCATGTACAAGTGACAAGGATCTTTCCGAGTCGATCCACTGCTATTGACGCGTCGATTATTGACGCGTCGAAAGAGTTATTTAGATGCAACACCTTCCCCAATGGAAATTATTAGTTGATCACAATTGCATATCTAAGCTGTCAAATATTTCAAACATGCAAGGGAATTTTTACACGCAAAGCTCGGGTGATTTGTTTTAGTTGTGGCATACTCTAAAGTTTCCTACCAACTTACAGGACTTCCAATTCTAAATGATTTCGGTTAATTTAGGGTATTCATATGCAGAATTGTTGCATCATTTCTGACGTTTTTCGGGAGTATGGCGCTACTGTCGCATCAACCGAGTCGCGCGGAACAACTTCAGTTACATTTATTTTTGAGAACACAGCAGTGACGCATATGATGGGTCGCACGCATAAGAAACCGCTATAACATGAAGAAGGGGTGAATTAGGGAAACTACGCTAAAAATGTAGTCTGAGACTATCGCTCTGAATTAATAAGCAGCTTGTGAGGTCTTTTCATGAAATTGCGTCGTGAACTTCGATGGTAGCCTCTATTTCCATTAAAATTGATCGAATAAAACCCAAAAAAATCAAACCAGCAAACCTCTCCCTCCTGCCGTATGATTTTCAGCAATCGAAGTTTCTTCTCCACTGCCTAAAATTTTGCATCTGCACGAAAAATAAAAGCTCATCTCGCAATGAGAGAAGGCCCATACCTCAATTTTTAAATTATACTTATGTGCCAAAATCTGGTGTATCACACGAGCCAAACAACAATTCAAGGTGAGTGTTTTTACAGTGTTACAGAAGCGTTTTGAATTTTTTTAGTGAATGAAATTTTCTAAGTGTAGGTTCCATAGCTCCATGAAAACTGAATCGAGGTTGGCCAAAACCTAATACTTGATATTTTATTTTAAAACCTAATACTTGATATTTATTTTAAATCTCCCGTATATGCTTTCAACTACTGCTGCTCACCATGGGTCGGCTCATTCGGAGTACTTGGACTGGCTGGTGTTCTCTTCCTTTCCGACGCTTTTGTGCCAGGTAGTCTTGGCCTTATCTATGAAACCAGCCTTTATGCAGGACAGGAAAACACTGAATGAAAGCTTACCTGATTACGCAAACGCTTCGCAATTTCGGTTTCTGCATCTAAAGGAGTGCACAAATGATTAGAATGCGGATTTGTGATGAATTCGTCCGCAATCACCTGAATAAATGAATTCAAACCACAAGAATTCATGGCAGAGTAGAGTTACTGCAATGGACTTATATGAGAAACTATTTACACATGATAACTAGACTTCGCGCAAATTCCCAGCTAGAGAACTCGCTGTGGGGACTTAATGGCAGTCTCCATCCTGAATACATGAACGTTGACTGATTTTTTCTAGAGCAACGTTGATAAACTTTTTTCGCTGAGTCAAGCCACATTCGCTCGCTTCGCGCTATCGAAAGTCTACAGAACGAACTCTTGAAGGACAAGTTTTACAGCGATTGTCATGTTAGCTATGACTTGTACCTAAGTCGTCCAGGAAGGTTTTTTGCGAGGGCATGCGGAAAGGTGGATTAGGCAATTACGCACGTCATACACAACACAAGCATGTCAGTGATCAAATTTAAGAACTGCGAAAGCAAAAAGAACGTTAGACGCACATCCATCTCGTATCTACATATAAGCACACATGCGTGGCCGGTTTTGAATGTGCGAATAACGTGTTCTACCTAGCTGTGGCGACAAACTGATGTCTAGGCTGACCTTGTACCGAAAGCATGCTCCTTTAATCTTCTTGCACTCGTTGCACGTATAATAGTCGAACTGCGTTCTGGATTGCAAGTACCCGAAAGAGTAACAACTGCCATCGGGCAAATGGAAGATGAGAATGTTAGGCTTTCCATTTTTGTTCGTGTATCGCTGTCCGACAAATACGGTTTCCTTGCTCGGAGATCGTTCTAGCGGAGATACAGCCATTTCTTCCGTCGGCACCATAGCCCCTTGAAGGAGCATATGAGCGTCAAGTGGAGGTGTAGTCGAGTGTGACGCAGCTGGGGGCAGTCCGATAATAGCGGGACACACTTCGAATGCTGCCGTTGGCTCTTCGTAGTCCGGAGAGGGTTCCATCTGAAATTGAACACATCAATTTGTTATCACCGAGAACAGTGCCTGTCGGATACCGACATTCCACTTTTATGTGGATAAAAGAGAATAGTCATAAATAGGTAATAAGTGATTTCACGAGACAATTTATCCGTTACTCCCATAACCAGGTGTTGTTCAGAGTTGTTGTACGGGGAAGTAGTGTGGTCTTTGCGTAACCACCAATACCCTTATACTCACTAAATACATACAAAACTTTTGATCCTGCGCTTTCGGCCTTCTGGAATAGTTGATAAATGGTGGAATTTGTGGATAAAGCGAATTGAGTGTGGTAGTCGTACAGCCGAAATGCGTCATAGGTTTGCGACGACCGTTCACAGGCAATCGTGTCAGGACCCTTCACTGTTATTATATGTGGGCCACAGCGTTATGAAGGAAGTGAATAGGTTGGGCAATCACTATGCGGCTGCTTCGTGGTCTTGACTGTGAAGGTCCCTAAATTACGGACCGTCAGAAATGACAAATTCTTTAAGATTGGTGGCCATTCCGACGTAGTGGGTAGCTCTTCTTTTCACCATTGCATTCCTTCCAGCTCAGAGAATATCCTGAGAAATGGGTAGGAATAGCAGCCCTCAACTAAACATCTTGAGTGAGGTTTCTGTGAAGCAACAGCCGCAAAATAAAAAGTAGTTATCGAAACAACTGGAATTAGTATGGCTGAAGGAGGTAGAAATCGGATGCGGTTCCAGCAATAGTGTGGAGTAAAGGCACTTACCTCGCCGTATCAATACAACACTGAACACATTTGCCTTTCTTGCCTTTATATAAAGTTGCATTAAACTATGCGGATACCATGCTTTGGCGGAAAGTATGCGGTTGGAATACATCCTACTGTATATAATTCGCTAAGGTGTCTGTTGGTTGGGGGACGGTCAAGTCGTGCGTCCGAGGGTGCGCGCGGCAAATTGCGCGGCGAAACCCATACTTATTCCGACAACTTTAGCGCCTATTGTTTGGCCCCAATTTCGAAGTACAGTAGAATAGTAGGATCAGCTGACCTTACTAATCTACCTTACATCAGGTTTGGGCCCCAGCGATAGGCGCCGGAGTCGTTCAAATTCGCCACGAACTCCGCCGCGCACCCTCGGACGCACGACTTGACACACACCCCTGTTGGTTTGTCGGTGTGTTTGTGAGTGTATGTATGTGTATTCGACTCATAACTCCTATTTACGTGGACCTAGAGTGATAAAATTTGGCAGGTGTACGGGAGGCAGGATGGGAACACTTATGTGGGTGGCAAGACCGAAGTCCGTTCACACGGGGCGAGGGGGGACGATACATCCTTACGATTCGAACTGCGCGCGGCAAATTATGCTGCAGAATTCATAGCGACTTTGACGACTTGATCGCCCACTATTGGGGAACAAATTCGAAGTAGGGTAGGTTATTAGGGTCATCTGACCGTACTAATCTACTCTACTTCAAGATTGCGCCCCAATAGTCGGCACTAGAATCGTTCGAATCGCCACGAATTCCGCCGCGGAATTTTCCGCGCGCGGTTGAAATCGCACGAATGTACACACACCCGGGGGCGAGGTGTGCGCGATAGAAATTTTGGGCCGCAAATTCATAACACTTGTTTACGTGTACCTAGAGCGTTGAAATTTGGTAGGATTACACTTTCCGTATTAACAGCGGAACCTCGGCATTTTGATAAGTGACGTGGGATATGACGGGATCGAAGGTTCTCGGTGACAGGAACTTATGATAGCAGGTAGGAGAAGATAGAGGATCTAAGAGAGGCCACCTACCGATCAAAATCCTAACGTCTTCGGTATTTACAATGTGGCTTTCACCGTTCACTATGTTTCATTCGATAAGCCGGGATGGTAGAGCAGGGTGACAAAAGTGAAAAGTAAGTGCAGTGATAGGGATCCATTAACGGCAATACGATGAGCAGATGAGAATTTTGTTCATTTCTTGCTATTAGCACCGCTACCGCTACACAGCAAGGTGCGAGACGCAGTGTAGGATCCTCTTCGGTCAATATCATTTGCGACAAAACTTAACCGACTCCAGTAATTTTGAAATCTCAACTAACCTTTTGACGACAATGGCACCTATCGGTGGGTGCCACCGTATCTTGTTTCTTACCACTTTTAGAAATTATTCAATGCTTCCATGCTCACCAACAAACTTCACAGTATTTATATTCAACATGGTCCACATGGATGATTTATCAGAGCTTATTTATCCTAGCATGTATAGTCAATGGGGTACCGCTAGAAAAAGTTAGGTACTTTCGCAAGTCTTGTGTACGTCCTGGAGGCATTGCAGAGCTTTCAACTTCTCAGCATGGCAGTCGCGAAGCATAAATTGATCTTCGGGGGCTTTGAATGTAATATGAGTTCCTATTACGGGCCTTACTTCCAAAATTTCTATCCTACATGGCTTCCGAGCCCGAGCAGCATTTCTATCACTTAGTTATATACAATGCGTTAAATAACATCTTGGTTCTCTACTATACGGGAGTTATTGCTTGACTCAGTGAGTCATTGAAAGAATTCTCTCATGAGACAATAGCACCCACAGGTGGGTGCCAGTGGCTGCTTTCATAGTCCACGATTTGACCAGCGACCAGTCGCGCGACCGGCCGCGTGACTGGTCGCTGGCCAAATCGTGGACGATCGCATCTAAAAATATAGGCGACTCTCCGGCGCGTGTCGCGTGCGTGTCTCTTGGCCCATTGCCAAATGTGGTGTATTCATCTCTACTGGAG